CAAGAGAATTTGAAACAAAAATGTGTACTCTAACATTCATAGAAGCATTATTCATAATAGCCCCAAAATGGAAACAGCCTAAATATCCTTCAGCTGACAAATCGATAAATAAATTGTGGTACTTCCATACAGTGGAGTATATTCAGTAACGAAAGGAATCATGCACTGATACACAATACATCATGAGTGAACCGGAAAATGTTATGCTCAGTGAAAGAAGCCAGTCACAAAGGACCACATTTTGTATAATCCTATTTTTATGAACTATCCAGAGTAGTCAACTCCATAGAGGTAGAAAATAGACCAGTAGCTGTCAGGAACTGGGAGGAGGAGGAATAGGGAGTGACTGCTAATTGATTGGTGTAGGGTTTCTTTTTGGGGTGATGAGAAGTTCCAAAGTTAGAAAGCAGTGATGGTTATGAAACTGTGAATGTACTTAAAACCACTGAATTGTATGCACTGAAAGGGTAAACTTCATGGTATGTGAATTATATCTCAATAAAAGCTGTTATGAAAAGTGTTGTAATTAGTGAAAAATTTAAATTCTCTGACAAGGAATTTGAGATTTGTCTTTATAAAAAGGGTTCTTTCCTTCCTTCCTTCCTTCCTTCCTTCCTTCCTTCCTTCCTTCCTTCCTTCCTTCCTTTCCTTTCCTTTCCTTTTTCCTTTCCTTTTTCCTTTCCTCTTTCCTTTCCTCTTTCCTTTCCTCTTTCCTTTCCTTTCCTTTCCTTTCCTTTTTCCTTTCCTTTCCTTTTTCCTTTCCTTTCCTTTCCTTTCCTTTCCTTTCCTTTCCTTTCCTTTCCTTTCCTTTCCTTTCCTTTCCTTTCCTTTCCTTTTTCCTTTCCTTTTTCCTTTCCTTTCCTTTCCTTTCGTTCCGCACAGGAGTTGGGTAGGAGCAAAGAGAATCCCAAGTGCAGAGCCCTGTGCAGGGCTAGATCTCACCAACTGCGAGATCATGACCTCAGCCCAAAGCAAGAGTCAGATGCTTAACTGACTGAGCCACCTAGGTGCCTCTTGAATTTTGTCTTTAAAGCAATGGTGTGTATTCCTGAAGAGTTTTCCATTCAAGAACAACATGATCTGAATATCACTTTCAAAATAAGTGAAGAATGGTGGGCAAGCCAATGATGTGGCAGACAACTCCTAGGTCTAGATGCTAAGAATATTTATCCTCAGTTTTCTGCCCTGAGCAAGTCTGAAATTTTCACATTATTGATACTGAATTAAAAATTTTTAACTTTAGGGGTGCCTGAATGGCTCATTCAGTTGAACGTCTGACTCATGATTTGGCTCAGGCCATGATCTCATGGTTTGTGGGTTTCAGCCCTGCATCAGGCTCTGTGCTGACAGTGCAGAACCTGCTTGGAATTTTCTCTCTCCCTCTCTCTCTGCCCCTTCCCCGTTCGTACTTTCTCTCTCTCAATATAAGTAAATAAAACTTAAAAAAAATTTTTTTTTAACTTTGTACATGGCAATATTTTATAATATTTACCTTGTTCTCATTTTCTTCCTAATAAATTGCTCTGGGTGATTGCAAAAAGATTAGTAGTTGCAGAGTATAGGAGATAAGTATTACTTTTTATATTTAACTCAGTATATAATCTTGACCATTGTAAATTTAGAGACAGCAAAACATGATTTAGCTAGAAGACCAGGAATTTTTTTTTTTTTTTT